TTTCATTACAATTATTGCCAAATCTAGCTTCCACCATATCCCTGGTTCTGGAGCTTCTTGAAGCAGATGCCGTATCTTTGCACTGGTGTACATGAGTTGTGGCCCATGGGTGAAATGGTTTTGTTCAGAATCATCACTCTTTCCTCTAGCTTTCTGTCCCTTTGCAGTATTGTTGGCTTTGTAATAATTGCCTAGTTTATTTCATGGCCGCATACAATGCAGACTCCAATTTAATAAGTCTAATGTCATGCTGAAACATAATCCCACATTTAAATAAAACCACTCTCTGAAATCTCATTGACAAGCAGAAGTATTGCTGCCTGCTGATTCTTGTGTTCAGCTTGTAATACAGCAGCATTTGGTTTACCAGTTACAGAATGAGCCACTGTTTGCTATCGTAGCATCTCAAGTGTAATCCCTTGACAGTTACAAGCTGTAAACTTGAAAAGGCAAATGCATTTACCAATAATATGCATTGAGGCTCTTGGTATTTAACATGCTGCCTGGAGAACACACATTTCACTCCCAGCAGTGGCTGGGGCTGGGTTGATGCACAAAACCGAGGAATTGGTTAGCATGTTGAGAGGTGGGGAGGATGAGAGTGAAAGCCCCAGAAGGCAGGTAAGTGAAATCAATGAAGCATGGAAAAGAGCGATTCTGGGTATGTCACCATAAAACTTAACTGACAAGTAGATATGAACGATGAACTCACAAGCAATAGACAGTCACTTTGATGATGGATGTTATGTTGATAGATGGTAATAGTACAAAGGTAAAATCCAAACATGACTTCCAGCATAACAGACCTGTTTTTTTCTGATTTTATTCAGGACAGGTTTTACATTTCTTTAGTTAGTTGTTTGGTCCTTCTTTCCCCACAGGGCATTACAACATTAGCAACAAATTGTTTCAAAAGTTAATGATATCATGGAGGGAGCACAGAAGACAGTATGGAGTAATCATCATAATTTGAGCATCATTTGTTTGAAATGCTAGTACCTTTCCAAGATTAGTTGAAAACAACATGAGATGCCACCATCACTTCTACCATTGCCATCACACCCTCTGCCTCCTCCTCCTTTTTCTTTACTTGCTATCATGTGTTATCTCCATCAATTAATACCTGCGGTGGAAATAGGAGGCCCAGAAGGCAAGCAAGAAAATATGGGGAAATGTCTTATTGATTGAATCAATGCTTGTCATCAAGAAAGGCTTAATGCCACAGTACTCCAAGGAAAGGAGATGCTATTCCATTTCTCTTTGTGTTACTGTTATTCCACTTGATGGGACTGCAATGAAAGAATCTGGTCATAGCCAATGTCTCTCCAGCTGTGCCACATCACTACTACAGAAATAAGATTTAAAAAAAAAAACACCCCACACTACAGATTTAATGTCGATCTGCATAACAGATGTCCTTCTCCCCACCTCCTGACATGCTGTCATGTTTCTGGTTTTAATTATTTCTCCAGAACAAGGGATTCTAATCTTTTCTACTGCAAGGGAAGGACTTGATCATTGGAGGTCTAAATGTTGTGCCTGAGTCAGGGAAGAATAAAAATGCCTCCAAATTTATTATTTTCCTCATTGAATTGCTTCTGAAATAATGACAGGGTTATTAATTCCTTCATCCAGCAGAATACCAATTCTACCATCAGCCACCAGCACTTACGTACCTTTTAATATTACTTTCATTACTAAGGCATGGCATGTGCAGGTTTACTGATCAAATGAGATAAAAGGCTACCAGGAGGAGCTTTTCTTCTCTCTCTCTCTCTCTCTCTCTCTCTCTCTCTCTCTCTAGCAGTCAGCATTCAGGGGAGAATTGATTTCTATATACAGAAAAACAGCAGTAACAAAGGAGTGGAGCTGGCATTCAAAGTGAGCAAAGTGAACAAAGTGTGCAGATGAACATTTCAAACAGTGAGGAAATATCACTAAATGTATAGCTCATGCCTGCTGATTGACTCCAGCATCCCTTGGGTTTCCTACAGAAGCAGTAAGTCAATAAACCAACTTGCTACAGCACCTTTTTCTCATCTGTGGTCTTCTGAATGTTTTGCACTACAACTCCCCTCTACCTGTCATGTGGATAGTGGTGTGTTTATTGTTACAAATATCTGGAAAGTTTCAGTTCAAGAAAGATTGATCTATTTTGCAGTTAAAGTTCCCTTATTCCCTGAGAGACATGCGGCCAGATGGTCTTTGTTTATCTCAGACTTCTTGTTCTTTCTCTCAGTATCCTTTATTCCCTGTCATTTTTTTCCATAGTCATTGAGTGGAGGTGGGTAAATGAGGACACTTTCATTTTGATGGCTATTTTTTACAACAGGACCCCTATAAAGCCTGCACTCATCCCATTTAAAAATATATTTCAAGTTTTTGTCATGTTTTGCTACTTTTAAAATTAATTGGGGTCTATAAAAGGTAAGGGGGGGGACACACAAAATTATACTCAAATGGAAAATTTTCTCCCATGGGGTTCCAGCAGGGGGCATGGAGAACCTGTCACTCCACATTGTGCGACTTGTCAGGGACCCCTTCCCATGGGGGAACTGTTGCTGCCTAGGTCACCCCCCCCCCCCATGTTGCTTTGGTGACAGCATACGCCACTTCCTCTCCTTACTTCCGAAGAAGCCCAACCCCAAGTTGTTGTGTATTGTGTAATGGGCTCCGGTGTTTTTAGGGAATATAGCTCACATTTTCCTAATTAAAGACATCTAAATACCAAGGGCCTATATCACACCACATAATCCTAGGGTTGACGTTTAATAAAGCACTAGAATTCTGTGGATGAGAATTCTAAATTAAAAATTCCTATCTAAGCTGAAAATTCCAGGATTCCATAAAATGGAATTATAATGCTATACTTGTGGAGTGTGACTGGAATTATAGAATAATAGAGTTGGAAGAGACCACATGGGCCATCTAATCCAACCCCCTAACATGCAGGAAAAGCACACGCAAAGTATCCTTGACAAATGGCCATCCAGCCTATGTTTAAAAGTTTCCAGGAAACTAGCAATCCTTTTTAGTTTATATCTTGTTTTATAAGAATGCACAGGAATCACAATTTTCTTCATGTGGAAAGAACTCTATTCTGCTGATGCTAATGACATTAAACCACAAAATCAAATGCTTTCTCTGAACAGAGTTATGATTGAGGCATATTGTCTATCCAAACAGAAGAAAGAGGCAAACACGCAAATGTATGGGTGAACTAAGGGGCATTTTCTTAGCTCTTTAATGTGATCTGCAGAAGAGATGATAATAATTGTGATGGCGCGTGTGGCACCACATATATGTAGTACTGTTGGTTGCAGGATTTAAACTGTCATTTTATTCCTGTCTACCTTGTATATGTATAGTTAAATTTCATTGGTTATTATAGCTGTCAATTTATTGTTGTTGTGCACCAATTGGCTTGTTTCCCCAGTTCATTTGTTTAGGCTCCACCCCTTCCAAGGGAGAAAGGAAAGGTATCTCTCTCACCTTTTTTACCTCAGAAAAAGACTCATTGGATGGACGTGTTCAAAGCTTGGCCCAAAGCCCCTGGTCAAGGCATTTTTTACCAGCAACTCTTAGGTTTTTTACCCCTGAGTCTTATACTTTATGTTCAAACCCCCTGAACAACATTGTGAAGATCTCAGGCGTCTTCATTCCAGTTTTTTGGCACCATAGGAAGGTCTTGTCCTTCAACATAGGCCATTGAACTGGGGTTGTGGTTTGCTCCGGCATTCACAGCCATTGAGAGAGAGGGAACAGGAAAAGCTTCTCAGCTTATAACTCCTAGGACCTTGGACTTCAACATTTATAAAGTGTTTTTCCCTGTTGAAACAACAAGTTTGTGCCTAAGAAAGAGAACTCATTGTCAACAATAAACACCATTTCGAGTTACCTGTTGTGTTCTAGTCCTTGGGAGTTCCAGTTTCCCTAAAGGAGGGCAAGAAGCAATCCCCTGGGGAAAGATGTCACGTCCATGCCTCTTTCTCTATAGCCCCAGGCGCAACGGCACAATAATAATTATTAATACACCATCTCCTTGAAGGTACTTGGAGAAGCTTACAAAGGCACTCCAGGGTGATGAATTTAGGACTGGTCTAAATATGTTCATTGCTTATTTCTTTAGTTGTAATGACCCAATCATTACTGATACTTCAGCATAAGTCTATCACAGAATTATTCTGCTAGCTCATTAGTCTTCATGGCGTTATTTGTTTATATAGACTTTCCAATACATTATGTGGCTTTCTTAAAAATGTATTTCATTTGGGATCCGCCAGAACTAAGAATGCAAAAAACGGAAAATATTTTCAGAACTTTTTGTGAGTTCTGAAAGCAGTGTGTTGCACCAGAGCTTATTTGCCATTTGTGTCATAACTAATGTATTTGGCACCTTTATAGTGCTGAGTGTCTTGTGTGCATTACAAGGTAAGAAAGTCAATTAAATCCATGCAACATAATGTAGGGGAAAAATCAAAGGAGGGTAAATATTTCTGGAGGGCATTGTATTTGTCTGATATGGCTCTCATTTTTGATCCAAGACTAAAACTTCCAGTTCTTTCTCATGATTACCAAAATTGTGTAAAATACAAATTTAATTTATATTTTAATCAAGTGAAAAGTAAATCCATAATTTAAACAATATGTATTCATAGATTTTTTTAAAAAAAATAAATCATGCATGATTACTCTTAAAAATGAGCTTTGCTGAATACAAATTTCAATCTTTTTCATTTTCCAGATTAAACAGAAATTAAAAATGCACCCTTGTAATGCTGAGTGTTGAAAGAGTATATGCTCCCTCTACTGCAGTGGTTCTCAACCTGTGGTCCCCAGATGGTTTTGGCCTACAACTCCCAGAAATCCCAGCCAGTTTACCAACTGTTAGGATTTCTGGGAATTGAAGGCCAAAAACATCTGGGGACCCCAGGTTGAGAACCACTGCTCTATTGTAAACAGTACATTTTCTACTGTGGTTTTCAATGCATAGAGTAAGTTGAGATTGCATCTGTTGCTAACAAAAAGACATGGCTTCTCCTTAGCATCTTTCTCATTTATGGCTCATCTTATTAATCCTTAGGGAATGTCATATCATACATGACATCTTTTTAATCAACTATACAGAACTCAGTTATTCAGCAGACAAAACCATTGCTTAACAAGAAATAACATTTAAACACTTATTTCAATTTTTCCCTATAAGAGTATTAACAAATCTTCGGACAATGGCATGATTGCTTAAGATGTCACATGATTTTACTCACATACAGGCATACCTCTTGGGTACCTATTTGAGAACAACTCTATCAATCTTTGTCATTTTTTTGAAGGAGTCATTAGTGAAATGTCATCTTCCAACATCTTCACATCAGGAGTTCAGGAAGCTTCCGCTTTGGAAAATCAAAACTTAGGTTAACATAATGACTACACTTAGTTAACTATGTCTGAAACATTAATAATCTGAAAAGAGAGCCAAAAAGCAAGGAAATAACATTAGTGTAGAACTACACTAAACACTGAACACCTGTTCTTATGGAATGATCAGCCATCTGATTTATATATGACGCTCTATTACATTGCTTAATGTAGAACAGAGCCAAGCAACTTTTTTGGGGGAAATAAAACACAAAAGAAGAAGTTCTATAAAACTAACATGTCAGAGTGTTGGTCTTTAGATTTTACATGTTTGTGCATTGTATTTCTAACATTTTCAACTGCTTTAAATTTAAATATATTAAGCACTTTTGCGTCTTTCATTTTAATCAAACGTGTTGATAAACAAAGTCTTCAATTCAAGGATAATTTGAGTATGGAACCTGAGGGGAAAAAAACAATTGTAAGAAAGTTTAAAACAGACACAATGACACCTAGTGGCACTAGGGGAAAAGCCTTCATTCTTTTGCAATAGAAAACGCAAGGAACAAACTAATCCTCTCTTGCATAAGTCACTGTAATGCACTTTTTTTTGCTAACAGTGTTTGTCTATGGACTATAAGAGATACACTTTTTAATCCATATATTTGTTTGCATGTGAGTTTTGTGAGCATGTGCCATAGTGCTGACTTTCAGTTATAGCAAAACTTACCTATTCATTGAAAATTGTTGAAATCTGACTGTTGTTATTCTTGCATGCTCAATTTCCCACACTGGTGTTTCTCCATATTCCACCATGTCAACCTGAAAAAAATTAAAATCTTCTCAGATAATTATTTTCTTTTTTTATGTTGTTCTGTATATGCAATGTATATTTATGATGTTTCATGAATAATGGTTGGTAACACCAATGAAGAACTTATCTTAATAATATAGATTACAGGTATTACAGGTATTTTAAAAATGTGTCTAATAACTTTGCCACCTACTCACACTTGCAGAGTAACAAGCACAATGTGAATCATGGATTTAAAATGAGCTTTCCCCAAAAAGGAAAAAGGAAACTATAAAACAAATTGTTTTAAGTTGATTTTTGTGCACTGTTTTCTCAACATTACAAACCTGGGTTTTATGTATTTAAATACGAGTTCACTTGAGTTTCCCATAAGACCTATTTTGGATGTTACAATTACTGGAATTAACTGTAGTATGCAGTAAACAAAACCTGATATTTCAAACCTGAAGTAGCAAAACTGCCTGTATTTATTTACCAGTTACTATTATGATAAAGCTCAGCAGGATCAGTGGTCAAAGCCATTTAAAATTTCATAAATCAGCTCTGAAAAGACCAGACTGAAGTAAGGTGTATTTGTTGTTTAAAGGGCAAAGCATTATGGATTCATTTGAAACGCAATAGCAATGACCAACTTCATCAGCTACTGAAAGAATTTAAAATGCTGTTTTCTTAGAAAGAAAGTTATAGTCCCAAATCTTCACAACAGACTCACCCATTCAAATTGTCATAAATAAGTCAATACGATATGGGGGAGGGGGGGTGTCATATTATGTCATATTATTTAGATTGCAATCCTGGGGCAGAATTCAGTCTTTTCTCTGACTTTTGGTAATGTGGGTTAAGGTGGTATTACCATAGACCAGCTAACACTGGTGTTTCTCAGTGTAGATGAGTCCTTAAATCAGCAGTTCTCAATCTGTGGGTCCCCAAGTGCTTTGGCCTACACATCCCAGAAATCCCAGCCCATTTGCCAGTTGAAGGCCAACACATTTGGGGACACACAGGTTGAGAATATGAGTCCCTTTGGGGAGATAGGGTGGTATATAAAGAAAGAAAGAAATTTTACTGAAGCACATATCTAAAGGAAAAATCTGCTTTTTGAGCATCTGCTGTGCTGCAATACCACCACTGCAAATGACTACAAAGTTGCATTTATGTAATATGGTGGCCATGTATTGGGAAGAGTCCTCACTTTGACGGTCTTTTAAGACATAGCTGCCAGTGTAAATATGTCCTATATTTGACACCAAATTAAAAATAACACAAATCTAAGGTGGTGGAGCAAGGAAGCTATATTTGCCTACAAAGCAGTAAAGCATAGACAGCCAACTGATGGAAATACCACTCATTTCATACAATGATATTACAATTCTATTTATATTATAGTAATTATTTCTGAATGAGTAAATGTCCTAGGAGTGTAATTGAGTAATTTCATTCTCCAAGGATGCTATGAGTTTGGTTTTTTGGGGGGGGTTTTTTTACATTTTTGTAATTTTCCTCCTTCTATACAAAGAACATTTTGAAAACCTCAGTTCAGGATTTATTTTGTGAAAAATTAATATGTGTTAATTTTGCTTCAAAACAGCCTTTTCTGCTATTACTATATTGTTCAGATGATATTCTGTTATTTTTCTGCCGTTAGGGACTTTTCTGCACAGAATAATACTCTGCAATGAATAAAAGTAGGTTGTGATAGTATAAGTTAGATTTATGCTGTCATAATTAATTAGCATGTGTGTGTAAATTTTATGCAAAATGCTTTTTAGATTATAACTTTTTAAAGAAAATACATTTTTGGTAATGTATAAGTAGTCACTCTAGTTATAGCACCACTACCAACCCTGCAGTGGTCTTTGTCTCATAAAGCACCAGTGTCTGTCCTATTTGAGTTGTGTCTTTCTGTGTTACATGTGATGTTCCCAGTTTCGCTTGCTATCTATTTAGCCTAACCAATTTTGCAGAGAAATTGTACTCAATATTCACAATGTGTTGTAGCTGGGAAGGTGGCACTGTTCATATTTCCAATACATTATTTTCATAATTGTATAGTCTTAAATTTAGATATCCTAATCCCAACACTAGTGCTCTGAATATGAGTGAGACTGGTAGAATTTGTCTTTTTAACTGATAAATTCATGGCATATATTTTAAAACCATATTAAAATTATATAGCTACAAAGAGAATCACTGAAAAGCAATAAAACCTCTCTACTGGTCTAATTAATTCAAATTCAATTTAAGCTGTTCCAAGAAATGAAGTCAGAAGAAACCGATTAGGCATATAACTCAGAAGGAAAGTTTTTGTGATTCATGTCTGTAGGCTATTTCCTCCAGAGCAAAAAGAATAGTGAAACTGTTGCAGACCCATTCATATATTCAAGTGTGGGAAGACAGGGAAACCATTTACTTCCTTTTATATTTCCTTAATAATTGAATTAAAGCAAAGGTTGGCAATTGTGGCCATCCCAATGGTTTTAATCCATTGTTCACATCAACTATAGCCACCATAGCCGATGTTGACAAATTATGACGCTTTCATTCCAAAGACATCTGAGGAACCATGGCTGTCTTAAAAGGAAGAACTGTACTGGAAACATCTTTACTGTTCCACCACCCTCATTCACTTCAGTTTGGAGATAGTGTGGCTTCTTTCCATATCTGCCCATTGATTTCCATATCAATGCTTGTTATATATTTATATTCTAATACATAGATTAATGTACTACGAAAGAGCCATGTGCAGTCCTCTATATGTCATTAAGGTATGACTCTCATCAGTGTGGTGAGGAACAATAGGAAATTCAATCCAACAACATCCAGCTGGAAACATATTCCCTGTTCCTATTGTATGCTAATGGAATTGGTTGAAGGCAGCAATACAGACATATGTTTATGTAATATATATTAGATACACATGAGAGTTCCCCACAGAAGAAGAAATAAATGGAAGCCATCATCCCATAAAGATGAAAAAAGATTAGTTTTCCATGGTATACTTGCTAATTAAATTTGTAGGTTGCAATAATATACTCCCCTTTTTCCAGTTTACTCTTATTTATTGTGAATTTAAATTTAATCTACTCGTCTTTGTTGCCATATACAACAGCTTAAGAAAATCTTTATGCATGAATAATTGGTTTCAAAATCATAAACAGCTTTGGGAGTTATTGGTGGTCTAATATGAGGGAGGTCCTGATAATTAAGATTGCTAAAGCTCAGGGTTTAGTATAGTTTTTATGGGTCACCTCCAGGGGGATGCAAACATACAAAATTTTCAATTTTCATGGTGTCTGTACCAGCTAGAGGATATACAGCTCAGCAAGTAGAGAAGAGGTTTGCTCCAATTCACAAAGGTAAATTGTGGATTGGAGGTGGGTCTGTATATTTAGTTAGTTAGTTTTCTCCCTTTCTGTGGTATGAGGACTTAGTATCCACTCTGCTCTGATCACATATGTGAATGACAGAAAGAGACAGACAGACAGATGGGAGAGGAGAGACAGGAGCATTGTGGGTTTTTCAAGAAATTAAGACACAGTCTTTTCCAAACAAAGTGTTTTTGTTGTATGCTGTATATGATTGCATTCTCTTCCAAAATGATAACATGGCACATTATTTTTTTTCCTATCCCTGACATCACCAGGGCTCGCCCCTCAAGTCTCAGGATTTTGACAAGAAATGCCAAGAATGAATCTTACCTGGCAACTCTACTGACAGTAATAAATCAGTATGTTCTAGAACTCCTGCATAATTGAACCTATCTGACTGTGTCTAGCAATACTGCATCTGCTGATACCACATGACCGTTTTAAAATTAGATGAAAAGGTAAAAATTCATGCAACCTCCAACTGATTCCCTAAATATGTCCACTTCCTTTATCTTACATCAAAACAAATTCAGTTTCATTTGGGTAAGAACTTGTTTAACTAATGACATTTTAAATCTAAGATTTGGCTTTGTTATCTATCAACATAGAAGAAAATGTACCTATTCTTTCAGTGTAGAACTCCAGCCAGATAATCAGCTAAAATTCTTTGCATCCCTAGCTCAGCTTGTAAGTCTAGAACTGTAAACAAGAAAAAAAACCCATGCAGTTAGTGATAATTCTATACTTGGTTTCTCCCCACCATCTCCGTGGAGGAATCTGATGATTCTTACTCCACTGAGCTTTTGAACAAGCCATAGATCTTTCACATATGCAATTCAGTGCAAGTCATACTAAATCCCACAGAAAGTATTCTGGACTCCCTGCCGTGTGATTTCATTACACTTCATAGTCTTACATTCTTGAAACTGAGCCTTGCTATATGATGAAAATCAGCTGGAATTGGAGAAGTAGCCTTAGAAAAGTAGGATCAGAAATATAGGAAAAAAGATCACCTGACAGGATGCCATTTATCACTAGTCCAATGTCTTCTTTTATGCACACACAAAAAACTCCTCATGCCTCTCTCAAATAACATTTCAACACCACGGAATGTTGAAACTGAAATAAGAAAATGAAAACGATTCCTCACAGGAATGAAATCAGAGCTCAGATTACTGGAGGGGAGGGGGGATAACTCAGAAAAGTACTTTTTTTCAACAGAAGGTATAAATTTACACAAACTCAGGTGGTGCAATTCAATGTCTATTAAGAATCACAGTGTCTTCATTCATCTGGGCCAGTGGTTCTCAGGCTGTGGGTCCCCAGATGTTTTGACCTTCAACTCCTAGAAATCTTAATAGCTGGTAAACTGGCTGGGATTTCTGGGAGTTGTAGGCCAAAACACATGGGGAGCCACAGGTTGAGAACCACTGATCTAGGAAATGTCAAAAGGAATTTGAACTCATATGTAAAGCATGTGGTAATAATCATTATTACTGAGAAGACTGGGAAGATTCTGATTTATTTTAAATTTAAATTGCCATTAATAGTTGAAAAACAAATATCTTTCTTGGAGCAAATCATTTCCCTTAAAATCATTTGGATCCTATTGTTTTAACTGTTTTATTATAGTTTGACTT